CCTGCCTGCGACCTCCTTTGTAGATGCCTGTCCTTTGAAGGGTCATTAATTTAATATCTTTCTCTGTGCAGCAGCTGGAACAAATGGTGGCCCCAGCTCCAGCAGGAGCTCCCAGCTGCCCGCCTCGCCCAGCGCTGACCTACTGGCATTTTTGCCGTGGCTGTCTCAGGCTTTTTATAGTTTTTGCACACTTGTTGCATATAGGATACCTTACAGGTGTGGGCCTTCACTGAAGCTTTAGCTGACTGTTTAGGGAAGGCTTGGTTGTTTTTTGTTTTTTTTTTTTTTTTTTTTTTTTTTTTTCTGGACTCCTGCTTTTCTTCGGAAGCATTTAAAAAATGAGGGAAATCTTACTGGATTCAGACTGAATTTGAGCTGCAGCATTTCACCATGAACTCAGCAGAGACGAATTTGAACTGTCTCACAGTGTGCTCCTCAGATGAGAGAGCAGGCACATGTCTGAAATGCTGAGTGGCTCTGCSAGTGCAGGTGCAGCACTGCCAGTGCAGGGCGCTTGCAGGGGTCACCCAGCCATGTGGCAGCAGCTGTGCCAGTGCCACAGCCAGGGGATTTCTCACTCTGCTCCTTGGCCTGGCCAAAATGCCTGAGTAGGTTCAAGCTTTACCACTTGCAGAGTGATTGCTGTTTGCACGGAAGTGTTTGCTGTCGTACTGACCTGTTCATGCGTTCCTTTGACAGAGCCATAGCTTTGAACAGGTGTCCAGTGCATAGCAAAGCTCCTGCTGGGATGATGACTACGGCTGGGTCAGAGCCCTCCTCCCTCCAAGTTCTTACCCTTTGCCCACCAACATCGTACTGGGGATTTGGGGCATTTTTTTTTTTCATTTCATTTATAAAATGGAATAGCAGTTTCATCTTAGCACTAACTGGTCAGATAATTTGGCTCCTGCTGTTTCCAGTACATGTATGCTCTCCCAGTCCTGTTGGTGTCCTTCAGGGGACTGTCACCTGCATACACAGCCTCACTTCAACCTGAGAGCACGTGCTTGGGAGAAATAAAAGATATCAACTGGGATGGCCAAGCTGGTGAGAAAAAGTGCCCCAGGAGGTGCTGCAGAGAGGCYATTTCCCAAAGGGTGCTGGTGATGTCTGTGCTGCTACACTGTGCTCTGGGACTGGAGCCCTGATGGCCTCGTGGTCTCTGAGAAGGAGACCACCAAGGTTTGGTTGCTCAGGAGGGTCCCTTTGAGCAGAGTGCTATGGGGCACAGCTGTGTGTCCCCAGGCCAACAGGAACAGGTTTCCCCTTTGCCACCAGCCTTTAGTGCTCATAACAGGTCACAYGTGCATGACAAGGTGTCCTAAAACATAACAGGAGATCTTCAGGTTGTAAACCACATCCTCATTTTTAGTTATTTTTGGTTTTTTGAATTGCAGATCTTGAGCTATGCTGTGTGTCCCATTTCCTTTACTTTCCAGGGTGTGTGAAGATGCTTCGGCAAAGAGAATGGAACTTAAGTGGTGTGGTGTGGTAATCCACCACATATGCCGCATCAGAGCTGTGCTGGAGACAGCTTCAACAAACATTCAGCTTCTCCAGATTGTCTTGGAAATGAGAATTTTATCCTYCTTCGCTTTGTTGTGTTTTTAGAAGCTGCTTAGGTACTTACTTGCACCAAAATGCTGTGTTTTGGTGGGTGGATGTAGTATACTTTCTGCGCTGAAATACCAAAGAACCTCACACAGGACACTGTGTAATTATGTAATTGTCTCATTGAAGGTGTGTGGACTGATGGGTTTTGCAGGGGAAGATTTTCAGGCTGTGCTGACGAGAAGAGGTGCTCTGTGTTAGGTATAAGTGTTACCAGTATGCCAGGGAGAGCTGTGGAGGCTGTGGGCTTGGCCAGCAGGTGCTCAGTGAGCCATGGGGAATGGAGTTCCCCCTGCGTGGAGGTCATGTGAACAGAGATTGAGTCTCTGTCAGTCTCTCAAGTGTTTCTGCAGCTGTGTGCATTGTCTTCGGAGGATTTGGGGAGACAAATGTAGTAAGAGTGGCGTGTTTGTCGGAGGAGGAAGCCAGTGGGTAAAGACTGGGATGCAGCACTGTCTGGTACCTCAGTGTGAGGAAGGATCWGGCCATGTCTCACAGCCCTGGAAAGCCTCTGGGGCAGCAGTGCCCACTGTGAGCAGTAGGCACTGGGAGGGGCTTTGGCAACATCCCCAGTCCAGGTGTCTCCAGGGCAAAGGGTGAGGGGCAGTGCCCACAGGACATGATGGGGAGTCTGGGGCCAGTCCCTCACCCCAGCAGGGCTGGGAGGGTTGAGAGGATGGCAAGAGGGCCATCCAGGTCTGCATACACGGTCTTGGTCTCCTGCCCTGAGCCTTCTCTGCAAGGAGGGCCCAGATAACCCATTTGGGTTGACTTGTAGGGCAGATGCTGTGACAGAAACAACTTCAAGTCCACAGAGTTTTTGGAAAATATCATCAGGCCTTTCTCCTCCTGTTTCATTGTGCCTGTGTCACCCTGTGTGTCCTCCAGCTGTCAATCACTGTGACCATCTTGGTGGGACCAGAGGGAATGGGGAGGCTCAGCCTGTGCCCAGTGAGTCCCCGTCTGGTGTCAYGCTGGGGCACCCAGCAGGATTTAGCTGCCAGAGCTCCCCGGGTCTTCCCAAAGCAGTGTGGGGCAGGCAGGCTGGGAAGCTTTGCATTATTGCTATTATTTATTGTTACTTTTTTTTCCAGTTTCTGGCTCTGCAGACCCCCAAATGCTCTTAATGGAGACATGGCCCGTTTATATGTTAATTTTAAGCCCGCTGACAAGCGGTTTGCTTTTCTCCTGACTTCTCACGGTTCCTTCGCCCGCTGAAAGCCGCTGCCATGGGCTTAGGGGATAAGGTGCCGAGAATTAGAAAATAAAATCAAATCTGCAGGATGCTGGAGAGAGAGGGGGTACAGGGATTGGCATGCTCTAAGTATAAATGGGTGATTTCTGAAAGCAAGGAACCCTGATACCAGGGGCGTGCATGACAATTACATTCACTACAATACAAAATGTTAATTACTAAATTTTGAGAAATTAATGCTGATTAGCAGCTGTGTGTGTGTGACCTAAATACATCTATTGCTTATCTTTATTCATAATATACAGTTTATTGTTGATAAAGTAATAGCTGAATGGTGGGCTGGCCCATGCGTCTCATAGCTAAAGACTGAGGCCTGATTTGTAAATTGTCTGAAATTTGTTGGCATCTGTTTTTTGTGGAATTTATACGGATGGAGAAGATGAATAGCAGCCTGAGCTTTCCCCTTTACAACTCAACTCATAGATATTATTGAGAATTCATATTGCTTTTATTATTTGGTCATAAAAATGGACCTAATGCTTGTTGGCTTTAAAACACCTACTAGCGCTGCTTTCTCTCTCCATCTTGCAAAATATAAGACAAGGCCGAAGCTTAAATTAAAATCCTCAGGTTCTTATCTCTTTCCCACAGGAAAGCAAATCTGTGTTGAAAACCGTAAAATTAAGAGGAGAGCAAGGATAGCATAATTTAGCAAAAATTCATGGCACCAGATTCTGAGCTATATGACTGGAGGGATAGGTCAGACATTAAGAAGATACTGCCTGCTAATGCAAGTTCCTTAAGGTGGTGCTCTGGAAACAAGGAAAGCAGAAAATGCTGCACTGGTTCCCGTTTACTCCCTTTCCTCTACTCCTGCCAGCCTTAACAATAAATTGAGTTGTCCATTTAATAACCCATCTGCTTCCAGAAGTCCAGAGAAATCATGGACTTTTGCATGGAGCTATGTACTAACATCTGCTTTGTGCCAGGATTTCAATAGTGAACTCAATGAAAATTAATTTCACTGGCCTCTTAAATTACTTTTCTTCTTAATTCCTTAGGTTTGACAGACTGTCCTTGCTGTCAGTGTGTCTGTCTGAAGGACAGCTTTTGTTTTATTAAAAACCTATTCCATAATTATTTGTGGTAAGAGGCAGGGTAGAGTGGCAGGGTACAAATGATGAGCATCTGTTACATGCTGGCATCGTCACTATGGCTCGTCCCACCATGGAAAGAGCAACCTGAGTTTCAGGCATCATTAATAATGCAGGATTTCATTGGGACTGAGGAGTTCCATTGCCTGGCAGCCTTGATCTAAGGGTGTAATTTTGGGCAGCATCCTTCCATCATGCTGCCTGCCTCTTCTCCTGTGCCACTGTAGGAAGTGCTGGTGGCAAGTGTGCGTCTTGCCCTTGTGGCACTCATTTCAGGACCCTCGAGGGTGTTTGTAGCACTCTGAGTTCTCCTTGATAGTCAGAGGCCTCCCAGCTGTCCCCCTCTAACTCACCCCCTTGAGAGGCTACTGCCAACTGCTTATCTATAAAATGAGACTTATAAGGGTGGCTTCTAGTTAACTGGTAGACAGACCAAGAGTTTTCAACCACAGTTTGTAAATCTGTAAGGGACAAAGTTATTCTTCCTCTGGTGATGGCGKGGGTTTGTCCTGCATGTGCAGGAGAGCAGTGGAGGGGAGGAGTGAAGCTGATGAAGCTCGTGTTGCACTTAAGGCTGGAGATATGGCAAGCCTGTACTTTAAGCCTTCTTTTTTTAAATGCTGTTCCAGTAACCAAAGGGTTTCTCTGGTGCTGCTGCTGACTCTGCTGTCCTTAGGTAGCAGCTCTTGGTGCACAGTGCCTATGTTGCTCCTCCTGCCCTGCAGCTCTCCATTTGCCATTTCCGCAGCCCTGCCTCAATGTCTCCCAAATGCCTTTCTTCCTGCCCCCAGCCCCCACCCATTTCCCTGCATTTCCTCAATATCTGCATCCTTCCTCAGGTGCCAGTGGTTTGAAGATGCCAATTCTGGCAGCAAACCTTGTTTCCCTCCACTAGCCCCGATGTCATGTCTGTCCATCTGTTTTCCTTGCTTCAGTAACGCAAATATTTAAAAACAGCATTTTGGAAATGTTATCTTTTTTTTTCCAAAGCAGAAGCCTCACTTTGCTAACACAATTTCATTTTTGTTCTTCTCTTGCAGTCCAACAAGGTGCCCGTGGTACAGCCTTCCCATGCGGTTCACCCCCTCACCCCTCTTATCACCTACAGCGATGAGCACTTTTCCCCGGGGTCACACCCATCACACATCCCCTCTGATGTCAGCTCCAAACAAGGTGAGCCCATCCTTTCCCAGCATGGTGGGGATGCAGGGTGGGTCCCTCCGTGCTGCTGACACAAAAAATATTTATAATATTTTAGAGGGAGGGTTCCAGGTGCATATGCCTGCTTTCAGAGATGGTAATKCTGCCATAATGCTGATACTTAACTTGGCTGCTTAAATTTTTATGCTCTTTCTAATGTGATAATTTGGTCTTGCTTTTCTGGTCAAAGTYTTTCAAAATCTCAAAAAACAGCAGCCAGTCTTCACCATTTCCTGTGGTGCCCAAAGCCTGCAGCATGTAGATGCAGAAAGGGGCACCATCCCATACTTCCCTGAAAATATGGGACAAGTGCTTCAGTAGTGATGTTACTACAATCTTCTCCTTTTCCCTTTCACTTAAAATTGTATTTTATGTCCTTTTGTTCTGGCTGTCCATATTCTTCCATGGCAATTGGCATAATCAAAGCATTGCCCATAAAAAAAGTTTTGAGCCTGGGCAAGTAAAAACTTTACAAACATGATATTTTTTAACCTTCTTGTGCTGGCTTCCTTCTGCAGAAAGCATCCTTTTAGATATCTGAGTCATGGACGTCAGTTTTCTCTGTACCTCTAGGACTCCTTAAGGCAAACACAAAAGCTCTTCCTAGATCCACGTCTGGGAATCTCAGACCAGCCCTGCTCAGGGTTAGTCTGCAGGCCCCCACAGAAGTGCAGTCTCCAAGTGTCAAGCCCAGCCTGTGCCAAGAGCTTCTGCCCAGTACCCAGGAGAATCCAAGGGATTCCTGGGAAGGGTGTGGTTGCTTACATTGTGTCGAAGGAGCTGAGGAGGGATGTGATGGATGTTGGGGACGTGCGAGCGGAGGACTGGCCATGGCTCTCATGGGTCTGAGCCAGGGTTTGGGTAGGCACCTGAGGAGAAAAGCCTGCATGGGACAGCTGATGGTAAGGAGGAAAGGAGAGAGAGCAGAGGGTTTCCAAAGGCATTCACTGTATTTTGGATATCTCTGCACAGGCAGGAAGCCTGCCGGTGCCGTGGCTGGTCCTGGAGGGTGCCTCTCACCACCTATCTCTGCACTCGCATGCGCCACCACATGCTGTGACACCCAGCTGACAGATCTTGAAGCTCTGCTTTACCTGGGCACACATCCACGTGCACAGTTGTCTCATTTATCTGAAGATTTTTCTAGTCATCACTGTTCAGGGAGAGAGACTTTTTTGTTCTCTTTCCCTGAATGCCTAGGTTTTATTTTGGCTGTACTATGGAGATAATAACAGGGTCTACATCCAGAAAATGCTATGGCTGTGTGGCTCTGTGTGTTTTTTGCTGTTTGTTGGTTAGTTGTTTGTTTTTTTCTAGGGAGAGGAAATACAAAAAGCACTCTGCCTGGAAAGCCTGGGCTGTAAATACGTGTATATCTTTTTCAGACTTGGAAGAAGCAAATGGAGACCTCCTGTCCTCATTTGTCTTCCTCCTTTGCATCAGTGCCCAGGAGAAGGATATTCACACCCATTCCTTGAAATCCCAGGGGTGCCACGCGTTAAGAGAACGGGATTTCCACCTCTTGCTGAAGCTGGCTGCGACAGCTGGGGCACAACCCGCTGCTGCAGTTTGTGCACTCAAGAGGTTTTTGGTTACTGCATGCAGCRTTTGCCCTCCTGTGCCCCATTTTTTTTGCCTTTACCCCAGTTTATTTTTGTAATCCTGTACAGCAGACCCAAATTGAACAACACCCAGTTTGTTGTTTCTGCTGCACATCCTCTCTTCCRCTGCTTCTGTACCCTCTTCCCTGTCCAGCATCCTACCAGTCACATCCCCATCCCTGAGCACAAGACTGCTGAGGGGCTCTGCCAGGAGGCACAAAGCTCATTACCCTCTGGTGATCCTGAATGCGCTCTTGATCCCTTTGCTCAGTGTCTGGCAAAGATGGGGATGGATAATGTGGATAATGCAGGCTGGAGACTACTGGTTTTKTCTGGGATGGTCTCCTTGATGTGTGTGGTCTTTCCATCCGTRCTCCCTGTTTCGGCGCCACCGGCATGTGGGAGCAGCCGCAGTGAAGTAGCCCATGCAGTTGCTGCAAAGAGARGATTTTTTTTTTCCTCAGGTCCTCTGCCAAACGCCTCCAACCATTGTTTCTGTCCTCGCCTCCCACTGTGGGTCTGGAACAAGGCACTGCCCTGGCGCCCTAGCCCTGATGCCTGGGTGCTCTCCTCCCACTGAAATGCTCCAACAACAGGGTCCTCAGCAGCTTGCCCTCAGCATTCCGCTTGCACCCAAGGAACTTTGGGGTGAACACACAGCACTGCCTTCCTAAAGGCAGTCACTCATTTCATTTTTCATTTCATTTCATTTCATTTCATTTCATTTCATTTCATTTCATTTCATTTCATTTCATTTCATATTTCATTATTTACATAACACTCTCAAGAGAACTTGCTTTGGAGGACACGGGCCATGCAGTAACTGAGTGTGCTCCTGTGGGCATTAGGTGCTGGTAGCCCTCCATAAGGGGCCAGAAGTTTTGGATTAGCAATAACAGCTGTGCTTTGGTTAAGGGAGTGCAGTGCTGTCTCTGTGGGTCAGAACTGCAGATTCTGGGGAAGGAGCGGCCCAGCTCCTTGTGCAGAGCTTGGTCTGGCAGGGGCAAGGTCATGTCATCACTTCCAGGAGCACCAGTCATCACCAGAGATGTGAGAGTTGTGGTGCTGAGTTTCTTTTTCACCTTGTTTGGTTTTGGTTTTTTTAACCACTCAGAAAGAGTATTCCTCTCATGTAAAAGCCCTGGGACATGTAAAGTGTTTCCTTTCCTGTCAGCTACCAGCTGTTTTACACCTTTGAAAAGACAACTGGTGAGAAATTCGATCCTCACTCGGGTTGTGGTTCCAAGTCTGAAAATTTTGCCTTTTTGAGACAATAACACCACCGGTATTATTTTCCATGCTTTCCTGTACACASTCCTGACAGACATTCTTCAAATCTTGTAATTAAATTCAGAAGATTTAAATACGAACTGGGGAGGAGAATAAATCAGTAACATCAATCTATAAACTAAGTCTCAAGGTAGCACGTGTTCAGCCTTGGACCTTTGGAGTGTCACCACATAAATATTTAATACCCTTTTAAAGCAGCTGATTTAACATGTGAAGTAGACTTAACAATTCCTTCTGCTTCACCCCCTCTTCCCCAAACACATTTAAATAAACCAATGTCTTTGTGGCCTCTGCAACTGTAATTCCATGTCTCCTGGGGGCACAAGGTTTAGGTGAAGAATGGAGACCACAGACCCTTTTGGGATGAGGATTAGCTTTAATCTTGAGGTGATTCTTGCWGTTGTAGGACTCTGTGTTCTGGGGAATGTGAGCTGATGGATCATTCCTGATGGGACTCTTATTTTTCCATGAAATACTACAATTGCAAAACAGATTGACCTTGGAGCCCACAGGAGTCAACTCGATGAAGAGCTTAGTTGGAACTGGAGTGACAATTGGAAGCCAAATGAATCATATCAAGTGTGACCATTACAGGCCTGAAAATGATTCTTAATTAACCACTGATCCTCAGCGGTAGCAAGTTTCCAAAATCTGTGAATCCATAAGGGAACCCGTGAAAATATAGAAGTAGCAATTTACCTAATCTAATAGCTGTGCTGTGCTGTCTCTTTGAGAAAGCTTTATTTTCCCCTTGTTTCACGATGTGTTAGAAAAGGTCCTCAGGATCCAGTTGGGTTTGGTGAGACCACTGAGAGGGCAGTATCGTCTAACGCGCTTCACAGGAGACCTAAACTTGCACAGGTCCTTACCCATTTATTTCCTCCTTTCCTTTTTTTTTTTTCTGGTATTTCCCTTTGAATTGCAGTATCATGTGCAAGTAGTTTTAAAGGTGCCATGTGGAACCTTTTGCTTCAGCACTAACCAAGAAGGTGATTATTTCTTACCCAAAGCAGCTGTATTGTACTATTTCCATTGTAGTATTAGCTGTAGCAGTTCCATTGTGATATTAGCTGGGAACTGTAGGTCACATATGGGGAAAATCACTCATTCTTCTGTGCTTTTTAACAGGCATGTCCAGGCATCCTCCAGCTCCTGATCTCCCTACCTTCTATCCCTTGTCTCCAGGGGGGGTTGGACAGATAACACCACCTCTTGGCTGGTAAGATTTTCTAGCTTCTTTTTAGACAGGTGCATGTTCACACCATTTGCTATTGTTGAATCAGTCATAGCATTTACAAAATAATAACAATAATAATAATAATAATAATAATGTATTTGCAGTAAGAAATTGATACTTTATTTTAGTTGAAAGGATGAAAAGCTGTGAGTCTTTGAAATGAATTGAATCTGGTTTTTGAACAGGTACAGAAATTGAAGTGTGTAGATTTCACTTTGAAGTCTGTATATTTCTTATGGCTCAGATTTGTGGCTCATAGCTTTTGGAAAGATAGCAGAAAATAGTTCTCAAGGAATGTAATCTAAATTTTAATTAACAATGTTGCAATTACTGAGGAGAGGGGAGGTAAGAAGGAACTTCGAAGTGTGTGTATGTGGGGAAATCTTGAAACTGCCCCAAATGGAGAACAAACTTTTGTAGTCTGCTGCTTTTTACAGTTTCTGTGTGGAGAGAAGCCTCCGTCACTGGGAGATCTTGCTGCTCTTGCTAATACTAGCATTCTCATGATCTCTTGCTGCCACTCTGGGTGTCCTTTTCCTTTTGGAGGAAATGTGGTATTTTCAGAGCAATAGATTTGGCAGGGTGCTTCATGTCTGCTAAGGGTAGATACATACTCGCCTTCAGTTCTCTTGGAGCAGGAAATAAGGAAACTCGGCCACAATTTCAGTGCTTTAGAATCTGTACTGTTACTAGCCTGTGCCCATGCAATGAGGGATGCAGATTTTTGGGATTTTTTTAATGTCTCCGAGGGAGGGAAAAATGATCCAAATGACAACAGGCAGAGAAAGTAGAGAGCAGAAATGTATGAAATGCTGTATCGCTGGCAAATCTTTCAGAAAAGGCCACATGCTTTTTTGGAGCAAATTATTAGTAGATAACAAAGTACCTATCTATTTTTTTAATCTTTCCCCCTCCCCTCCCCTTCCCATTTTGCTGCTTAGCTGACTCCTCACTTCCACTGCCACCAGGCAGTTGCTAGCATGCATTTTCCAGATGTGGTCAATCTGAATGATATCTTGATGCAGATGCGGGGGGGAGGGAAGAGGGAAAAGAGAAAGGAGAGACAAGATCCAACCTGACAAGACTCGGGGATGTGTTCAGCAGCACTGACCAAGCGTGGGACATACGCAGCTGTCCCTTATGCTATGGTTCCCTGCTGTGAGGTAGTGCTGTTGAGACTTCAACTTTTCTTTTAATTTCCTCTTCCCTTTGAGCRCTGCTCATTTCCAGTAACGTGCTCCAAGTCTGAAACCTATGTCCTGAACCTTACAAAGGCCAGGTTCCATTTTCTCTCCTCTGAGAGCTGACCAGTCCATAAGCAACTGTTTGAAGAGGATTGATGTGTATGGTGTCCTGGCTGCTAGAGGTGTTTGGGCTGAACTGGTATTTGCCCACATTACCATCACCTGCTACTTAAGGGTGTTCATTTAGTCATGACTGAACCATTGCAAACTGAAACTAATCAAAATGTAGGATGACGATAAAAATTAAAGACCCCAAATTACAGAATGGTGACAAAATATTCTGTGTGTATGGGAGTGTAAAGGAGGCAAAAACTTCACACAAGTTTCTCTTACTGGACTGCAAAGTTCAATCTTTAAGTAGTAAGACAGACTTGTGTTACTGTGGTCTTCTACGTGGTTGGGTTGGTGTTTTTTTATCAAATAAATTTCTACTTAGAAAAGCTGTCCACTTGTACCTCACTATAGCATATGCTAATGGAGAGAGTCCTAAGTTTTCAAAGACTTAGTAAAACTGTTCAAAAGACTTTTTAGCTTAATAATTCACCATCTGGTGTTCTTGCTCTGATCTAGAGTAGAACTATTTGGCATAAGATGCTTTTTTCCTACGAGCTTGTTTAACAAATCTKATTCCAGTGCTTCTAAAACTAGGTGAGAGAGGGATAGAGATAGAGGAGTGTGCATGTGTGYGTGTGTRCCCTGGGGGAGGAAGGCTGGTTGTTTTGCTTTCCTTCCCAGTGGAAACTTAGATTGGGAATCTTTCTATAGCAAGGGAGAAAGTTCAAAGAATTTAAGTATTCATTAGTTTCATTAGGAGAGCTCTTGAAAGTGTTAGCTCTTACTATTTATTTGTGACTAGTACTGAGTTCCCATCAAGAGCTTGTAACTCTAGAGTAACCATTGAATACCATATYGGATGATTGATGGGTTCCTTTCTTCTGTGACCTCAGGCAAGGTCAGCCTGTATATCCCATCTCCAGTGGATTCAGGCAGCCCTATCCATCCTCACTCTCAGTCGACCCTTCCATGTCCAGGTAGGTGTAGGAGGTGAATGACTGACTGGGGAGTAACTGCTGGCATTAGAGGGCAAGTTGCTCTTCCGCTTGCATCTTGGTCTGCCTTTGCTTGCTTTTCAGTCAGCTAAAACCTTACGCATACATTTTAATTTAACTTACGTGTGTATATGCAGCTTGCCTGGATCCCACGCTGGTCTCATTCAGCATTTTCTTGTCAGTTTCTGAAGTGTTGCAATGAGTAGCGCCAGTGAATTGCCAACAATTAATTGAGCTGTTTCATCTGAAATGAGTTGCAAGTTCATTTCTAGATGCAACACACAGTGTGCATCCTTGGGTTTTGTTCATGCCAGTATGCAACCAGGTGGATTGTCGCTCTAGTCTGTGTTCTGTAGTTCCAATTTCTAAGTTGCTGGAAATCAGTGCTGAATCACGTAGGTAATGCTCTGTGTGGAAACTTGCTCGCAAGTAGGTATTTCATAGCCCAAAGCCACTAATGGCAGGGGATGCCAGCACAGTGTTTGTACTGGTGTGTGACTCAGGCACTGTGTCTTTGTGTCGAAGTGCAAGCAATGCTAATTGAGACTTGGCCGTGACACACTCCAGACCTCTCTGCTCTGCTTTCGCATTCTAAAGACAGCTTCTGCGTCCTGTGCTTGGGGTACACAAGGTTGCAATACACAATTCTTGAGTTTTTTCTGTGACCTGTAGAAGACACATCCTCTTGCACAGGGATTTAAGGCAGGCCACTTGATAAGTGGTAGGTCCTCTTGTCTCTTTGTGTGTGGGCTCCTTTGGATTATCACTGTCCCTTCACTTCTTTACAGAGGAATGATAAGCATGTGCCTGTCAAGGTGATTGGGAAGAAAGCCCATTCTTTCTCCATGATAAAATCACCTGATTTGGTTACAGGGCTTTGTGTTTCCTTCACTTTGATGACATGAAGGAAAAGGACAACAAGGGGACTAGGGAAGGGTGAAAGGAGAGGCTGGATGCAATTCCTTAGCCATCTCTCCTTCAGCAAAACTTCAGAGCATGAGCTTGCTTTTGATGTTAACAGTACTTCCCACCAGTTTAAAATACAGCATGCAGGTTTTCTGCTGCGCCTGAGCTTGCAATGCTCAACACCTTCAAGATCAGTCTCAGCTGTCCTGGAGAATGACCTGGGTTAGCAGGGTGGGATTATTCAGTTAATGATACTTTGGTTTTATTTTCCATTTTCCTTCTGGTACAAATGAAAGGAAGCTTTAATTAGGACAAAAATCTCTCCCTGCTCCCATCCTTCATCCAGGATGCAGGATTTTCAAATTTTATTTTAAGCATTTGAGGTAAGAATAGTGGGTGATGTTAAAATCTTTTACCTTCAGTACCTTGAAAAGTAAAGAGAGCCATCAGGGACTTCTTGAAAAGACTCTTCTTTCATTTTATTTGTTTCTGCATGGCAGTTTCCTCCTTTGCATTGGCTGGTGGTGGATATTTTAAGAATGTTTATATCTTGGTGTGGAAATATGGTTTTTTGGTTAAGAAATGTGTATTTTTATTGCTAGACAGTGCAACAGTACAAACATTAAATATTTCTTGTTTGCGTATTAAGTATTTCTTAATACTTAAAAGTATTTAAGTATTTGCTAAAAGTATTTGCCTGAAAGGTAATCAAATACCTTCTCTCCAACCAAAATGTTGACTGATTTGTTTTTTTGTTTGTTTTTCTTGAATAATTTGGGTACAATGCACAAATCTTAGCCAAATATTTTTCGTGTGCTCTTCAGGAGTTGTCGTCATTGCAAGCTCCGTAGCATTTGCATTCCTGGAGTGTCCTGCTGCTGTCATATGTGTTTGATGCCTGTCCTCAGTGAGGGTTACAGACCTTGCTTTGTTTTCTCTTTTAGGTTTTCACATCACATGATTCCTGGTCCCCCAGGCCCTCACACAACTGGAATCCCTCACCCAGCTATTGTAACACCTCAAGTAAAACAAGAACATCTGCACAACGACAGTGAGCTAATGCATGTGTGAGTCTGCCTTCCTGCACTAGAAACCTTAGTGAATAAATGTTGGAGAACTAATTCTATATGAAGAAGGATCAAGGATACTTTTAAAAAAGTGTGTTTCATGACCTTTTTCAATTTTAACTCTTCTCCTATAGCGAAAAAAGGATTTGTGGGCTACTGTTTGGTAAGGGTAATGAGACATGAACCCATTTTTCATTCCAGTGCAGCACTTTTAAGCTGTTGGCAACAGCCATCTTGATTCAGTCATAATCATGGACCTGTCCAGCTGTGACTGGTGCTTGAGTGTAAACTCATGAACTTCTGCTGGAAAAGTTCTTACCTGCAAAATTCGCTAGTAAAAAGCAATCTCATTGCTTAGTACTCAAAGGCAAAAGGCCTAGGAAAGAAGGGAATGAGAAGCTATTCTGCCGTGAAATTCGTCTTTTAGGGTGCCATGGATAGATAGCCTCTCAAAAAGAGAATTGAGACAAGTGATGAATTTGGAGCAGATTCACAGATTAAATGTTACTTTCTAGAGAATGTCACCTGACACCCTATCTGCGTATTAAACAGAAAGATATGAAATGGATGGGATATGACCACTGATATTCTCACTTACTACTTAAGTGCTACTCTAACCACAAGTTAGTAATTTTAAATTGGATCTTTTTAGGTTGAAGGCAAATTAATGTTTTTTCCTTTCCCTTTCCCAACCACGTTTTAGGAAGCCTCAGCACGAACAGAGAAAAGAACAAGAGCCAAAAAGACCTCATATCAAGAAACCTCTGAATGCTTTCATGTTGTACATGAAAGAAATGAGAGCAAATGTTGTAGCAGAGTGTACTCTGAAAGAAAGCGCAGCTATCAACCAGATCCTTGGCAGAAGGGTATGTACAGGAGGGTTTGGGAGTGCTCACAAGTGCTGCTAATTTGTGTTTCCCTTCAGCTGGGTGTGAAGGCTGACTTTCTGCTTGAGTTGATTACTGATGTGCAACTATTGAATTAGCTAACGAAGATAAAACATGCAGCAAAACTAAATGCAGTATCTTGATGTTCTTTCTTCAGCATTAGCAACATCATCAAATTTGTGTCTGTTCCACTCATGTTATGGTGTCCACAGCTCAGACATGAAAAATCCTCAATGGAAGGAGCGTTCAGATCACGTTCTGGGTCCTCCCTTAGGCCAGTGTCCATCAGAGCAGGAAGGGATCATTCAAAGACAAACACTGGATGCCACTGGAGTTGAAACTCAGCTGTGAATATGATGCAGTCCATCTGTAAGTCATGTAGGTTGGAAGGGACCCATGGAATTGTGTAGTCCAACATCCAACAAAGCAGGTCCAGTTACATCAAGTTGCTCAGGAGCCTGTACAGACAAGTTTTGAATGTCTCTGAAGTCAAAAGCCAAGTACTGGTGATCCCAGTCCATGTACCAGAGCCTTGCAGAGATCTGTTTGCTTCTGTGGCATTGTAGTCATGTTTTGTACTTTCCACACTCAGAAAAAAAAACCCATGCAGCCCAACTCACAGTACAGACTTTGTGTTCATTGCCAGTGTTATTCTTCCAAGGGAAGGCAGCTGAGGGAAATGCCCATTTTGCAATTGAGTCCCAGAAATGAGAAAAGGGGTGACTTTTGTACCAATCTGAGTTTGAGTAGGGATTATTCAAATACCCAGTGCACATCTCTTTTTGATCACTGACCAAGACAGTATTGAGAGGCACTGTGACTCTGGGAAAACCCTGTGCTTTTAAATGGGAAATCAGCACACGACCTTAAAGTGCTTATTTTATGTTACACTCTGAAGACTTCTGCTCCAAACAGAGCAGAAATCTATTGGTACTTGTCCCAGTTCGTGCAGTTTTCTGCCTTCTGTTCTTGTTACCTCCCCTTACAGGACATCTTGGTGCTTGCCTTTTCCATGCTTTCATGCAAGGCTCTAGGATCCTGTATGGGCCATTTGGTTAAGAGTTGGACTTGATGATCCTTGAGAGTTCCTCTCAACTCAGAATATTCTGTGATCTGTGAACTACCCTTACAGCTGATGGCAGTCCCAGATGATTGATCTTAGTGGGTCAGCCTTGTTTTCTTGGCCTGAACTAGAGCAGAGGCTTATTTATCTCTATTTTGGTAAGGAATCAGGCCCCAGGGCTCCATTGCTTGCTTTTTCTGCAGCTTGAAGTCTCTTTGCAAGTTACTGCTCTCCATGAAAGTACCTCAAATCCCACTTTTTTGCACCTGTGGTGCAAACAATGCATGAGTTATCCAATGTAATTGCTTGAAGATTAATTATGGTCAAGTGGTTTGTGTTCAGTCATCCTGGCCACTATGTTACCTTGTGCTACCCCAGAGCAGGAACCACCTCTTCTCACGAGCTGACACTTTGTGTGCTGCTGGGCTCTCCGCTGCCACAGCATTGTGTTCACTGCCCTCCACCTTTTGTAAGTGCTTATGGAGTTTAAGAGCTGCAGACAGGCTGAGCTGCTGTACTCTCAATAACTCATCCAACTCGCCAAGTTGAGGCAGACAAGTGATTTAGTTCACATCCTCTGATATGTAACAAAACAACATATTCAATCATGCAAAAATGATCTGATCTGAAATCTTAGTTCATGTTATGTTATTAGCATGTTATTGTTGTATGAGTGCCTTAATGATATCAGGTTTGTCTGTTTTCTGGAGCATTTTTTAAATTCTTCTCCCCTCACTTCCCCATGGATGTTGTCAAACAAGAAGATGCATCTAATGTTGCTGCAGCAGTAGAACTTAATTCTAAATAAAAGGCCGTTACTCCTGCAGGTTCAGGTCTATGATAGGTATTTCAACAAGAACAAAATCACTAAATACGAATGTAGCTGGTGCCTTTTCAAATGTGCAGGTTGTGAGGGATTTTTGTTTGCATTTGTGTGGGGGGGTGTTATTAAGTACATGAAACCAGGAAATGTATTCCTGCTTGTCTACAAAGGTCAACCCATGTAATTTGTAACATTGTACTTCTGTGATTTCTTAATATTAGAAACTTTTGCAGCTGCCATTTTCTTTTTCAATCAGAAAGCAGGTACCTTGAAGTTCAATACTTAGAAGCTGATCTTGGAACAGGAGTGCTGGTCCCCAGAAAGCCTTCTGTGTTGGCATTGAAAACTTGTGTCTAGCTGCTGCTTGAAACTAAGACAGCAGACCCTTCTGTCAAGGGGAGATTGCTGCCCTTTAAAAGCAGCACAAAACCCTTCAGATTTTTGTCAGGAGCTAAAGTTTGGGGTTTGTTGCTGGTTTTTTGTTGGGATTTGCTTTTGTTTGTTTGTTGTTGGTTTTTTTAAGTAGTGTTGGGAGAGTGTGGTTCTGTGAGCAGATTATTTGGTGAGCTGTTTCCATAAATAATTTTTGTCTTGCTCAAGGCACTTGGCAGTTGCAGAGCTGACAAATGCCTGAAAGTCAGTTAATAAACACAGGTGCCTGTAATTGCTAATGAATTTCATTTTTGCAGTGGAGAAGGACTGAATCAAAGTCACTAAAACACTTGCTCAAGTCATCTGTTGTCTAGGTATAACTTAGTTTCTAGTCTAAAGCTGTGTTTATTTTGTTTGCAGTGGCATGCTCTCTCCCGTGAAGAACAAGCAAAATATTATGAACTAGCTCGTAAAGAAAGGCAGCTACACATGCAGCTTTATCCAGGCTGGTCTGCAAGAGACAACTATGTAAGTCACTCACTTGAAGGTTCTTTCTTTAAATTCTCTTTCTTTTCATAACTTGCTAAATTATTATTTCTTCTTTTTCTCTGTAACTTGTTGAAAGATATAGAGACCCTGGATGAGGGTTGGTGAACATACCTATAACATAGACCTTATATTTGCTTTCATTTTGAACACCCAGAAAATGAGATTTTGTTGTTGCTATTGAAGTTCATCGTTTTTGAGGGAAAAAAATAACATGGAAAACATTTTCCTAAAACAGTGGCCAGCACTGTCTGGAAGCTCATGTATTGTGTAGCTGTGAATTTTCCATAATTTTCTATTTGATCACTTATTATCCAAAAATCTTTCTTAGACCTGAGAAAAAAACGGGTGTCTTACTTTCAAGAGAACTGCAAGCCCAGGGGTCTCAATGCAGACAGAACTTTAGCTGAAAGTAATTCATAATGGTCCATCTGTGCAAATCTTGTACAAGTAACCTTCATGGTAGAGCCTGCTGCTATACATGTGTGTATATATGTAAAGAAGTTTTCTTACAGTTACTCTTGCTTTATAATTAAATATCAAACAAGTGTTCATGGCACATTGCACAGCCTGCCCTGCACACTATGGTGCCTACAACGAGCTGTCAGTGTAGCCAAATGTGATGACATCAAGCTCAGAAGCTGCGGCCCTGAGAGACTGATCCTAACCTGAGATCTGGGCTCTTTTCTGTCCCTCCATTAGATGTGACACTGTCTACTGGGATAGGAATGTTTCTGGCTCAGTTTTCCTTCTGCACTACAGGGACAGTAGTTTTTCTCTACTTCAGTGATGTCTTTGTACATTGGAAGGACATTTGTACATTGTACAATCCTTTGTACATTTGTACCAGGATTGAGGTACCTAAATAGAGTGTTAACAGAAATGGTAGAAATTGTCACAGAATGCGCTGACACAGAAACTATGGGATTATTTCGGAAGGAAATGCCCTGGTCTTGCTGACATGCATGCCCAATTTTGTAACCACATACACAACTGTTGTAAGCCCTAGCAGCTTCTTTCTGTTTTCTACAGCCAATAAACTGTCCTGACATTACACAGGTAGGGTTTTTTTTCCAGTAACCAGACCATGTCCACAGAGCTGTCTTGAAGTATAGCTGGCAACAAACAGGGTCTTAGGGAAAGGCTCCCTGGAAACAAATGGATTTTGCTTGTCTCCAATTTACTTGCTGGCAAATCATGCCACTTAGGAGTCTTGTCACCTCATGCTTAGTGAACATCAGGCCTCTAGATGGTCCTGTGATGTTTGGTCATGTTGGCTTTGAGAACCCTGTGTTCTGCCCCAGCCTATGCCACACAGCACAAGCAGTGGACCTGTGGTTTCTTAAATGCCTTGGCAGACATTTGGAGTGTGTGAGGTGGCACGTATGAGTTATCTCTTTGATGTGCTTCCAGCCTACATCCTGTGTGGAAGTATAGCTCTGACATACTCCAGTGCTGTATGTTACAATGAAGAACTCTGCTGGCTTCCTCTTGCAGCCCTCCCCTCTGCTTCTCCAGGAATGCACACGTTCTGCAGTGGTGGTCAGACAGTGATCATAGGAGAGCAGTTTATTGCTGAAACCTTTTCAGATATTTTTTCTTTCCTTCTTAAGTTTTTCTAATTTAAGCAGTCAAAAAGTCAAATTGTATTAATTTAGCACAGGTATTACTGCAGTATTTTGAAGGTTGGAAGTGACTTAGGGGTGGTTCTTCTATTTCACAAAACACAAGTACAAGTAAAAAATATGTACTGTTTGGTTTTAGTTCTATTTTGGTTTGCCTGGTTATTCAGGATTTAAGGAATTTCAAGAAACCGTTAAATATTGTTATTCAATTGTTGAAACTATCTTTTTCATATGTTTTTATTACTGATACTCAAAGCAGTCATGCAAAATTGTGTGATAGACATGGAAGCACAGTGTTTTCACAACATGAGAGTGTCTATGTGTGCTGCAGTTGTCAGAAACTATCTTAGCTGGGAATGCTGACAACTAGTTTTCAGCCGCCTTCTATTCCTTCACTTACGTTATCTCATAGGTAGATCTCAGATCAACTTTCAGGATGTTTTAGCACTGGAAGTCAGCCTGACATAGAAAATATAACAAATTTTTATCAAATGATTTTTCCATGTTAACATCAGAACTAATGCACTTTCCTCTGTAAAGAAGTATTGCCTTGGTACCTAAGTGATAAAGTATATTGCCGTGAGCACTTCAGAGCCCTTGAAATGTACTTTTCAACTTCTAGTCTTGGTCCTGACTTCAGACTCTTGCTCACAAGGCATTGCCCAGCCCTGTTGCCAGCCTTGGGATAAATAAGGACAGGAGTTTGAGGACCAGGCAGTCCCAGGCTGTCAGAGTAGGCTGGAGGCT